CAAAGACATTATATGCTAGTAGCCCCATAGAAAAAAAAAAGTAATATAACACTACATGCTGCAGATATTGATGATGTTCTGGACCGTCAATATACAAAATAACATATAATAATTTTAAATAAAATAATAAAACATTTTACAAGCATTGCATGATTAATTAAAGAAAATATATTTTGTATTTATAAAAAATTATAAAGTAAGTAATTTTCCCAACTCGCCAATATACGCGCAACGCGGAAAAGTACAAGTACAGTGAGTATACAAAATACAGTAAGTATATAGATACAAAAATACAGTGTCAACTACTGTAAATTATTTTAACCTGTAAATAACAGGTGTAAAAAAAAGTGGTACAATAGGGTCCAGGCGACGATCCACTTAAAAAAAATCGAACGCGCCATAAGTGGAACCTCAAAGGTGGTGCGGAAGACCACTACTTATTAATAGTACTAATAAAATTACCAATCTACATCTATTTGACTGCATTTTTAATATGCTACTGTGTTCCTCCACTAATCTCCACAGTACATGTATATGTAGTTACTGCAGTAACTCTTGCTAATATGCAGTAGTTTAAAATAAATAATTAAAAGCTTTGCAGGCGTGTAATCTTTCATGTTGATAAATGTAAAATAACAAGCATGGCTAAACGAGTAAGGCGAATGGCAAGAATATTAAAAATCTCGTGTTTGAAAACTGTGATTTTGTAACTTTTTTTCCTTTTTCGATATTTATTTTAAGCAAATTATTAGATAATGTTTTTGGCTAAAAAAAATTATTTTATCTTTATTAAAAATATTCACATATGTTAAATTAGCACTTTGTTGCAACATTGTAGAATAACTTCATTTTTCTATTAACAATAGTAGATCTGTATTATTTCTAAAATTGTTAGTTTAATATTTGCGAATATTAATAATAAATAGAAAATATTATTTTTTGGGCAAAAAATATTATCTAATAATTTACTATGCTAGAAACAAATGTGGAAAAAAGAAAAAAGTTAGCACGAAGCAGGTCTCGAACAGGTGATCTCTAATATTCCAGCCACTCGCCTCAGAATTTCTTTTCTAAATCAGAAACGCTTGCTTTTAACATGCAAGTAGCATGCATTTATCGTCTGTTGTGTCGGCTCGGTGGAAGGGAGACGTTCGCTCTCTTCCATTGGTTGAACGGCCGAGCTCACACGGATACGTGACGTAGCGCTTCTGTAAGATTGTGTGAGGCAGCGGAGCCGGGACCGCTGTGGGAAATATCGCATCACTGCTGGAGAGCTCTCTCGGGTCCAGCTTTTATACCCCTGGATCCACGGACTAAGGAATAGAGGGACTGAGTCTAAAGTCCTAGTTTAGGCGAGAGGGGACGGGTAACTCAAGCGTGCGGGGGGACTGCTTTCCGCCATATTGATGTAGCGATTCTCACACAGAGATTCTGTGTCTGTGACATGGTTACACTCGTGTAGTGGTGCCATACATAACGGGTGACAAGAGATTAGGCGGTTTTATTATTGTACTATAAATTTTATAAAAATGGTTAGATGTATAGTACCAGGCTGCTCCATGACAAATGAAAAAAATGAAAGAAAAAGCGAACTTCAAAAAACATTAGAGCAAAATTTAAAAATTAGTTTACATAGGTAAGAAATTCATCTTATTATTCGTAATGTATACTATATTATATCGAGTAAAATTTTTCTTGGAGAAGACATTTTGAAACATTATCTTACTATATAATTTTATTCTTACTATATTAAAAAATGCTGTTTTTATTACAGATTACCAAAAGATATAAAAAAAGAAATTTGTGGCTAAAAAATATTGGATTGGATGAAAATATAAATCTAAAAAAATCTGCATCAGTTTGTTCATTACATTTCAAAGCAGAAGATATAAATAGAACTTTGGATAAAATATTTTTACGTGAAAACGCAGTACCTTATGTATAAAATTTTATAATATTTAACTTTGCTTGGTATACAAACATCAGTATTTTCTTATTGAAAGTTTTTTACTTTTTTAGAGTGATGCTTTTGTCGATAGTACTCTTCAATACAAAAACATTGAAAATGAAGAGAATTATTTAAATTCATCATTTTCTTTTGATAACCAACCTTTATATTTAGAAGCATCATTTTCATCAAATAATACTCATTGTACCAAGAAACTAAATACTGAAAATCAGGAATACAATGAAGATAAAAATATGTCCATGCAAGCTGATGAACAAATGCTTCTCGATGAATTCACTGGAGAATTTGTTAGGAGAAAAGAACATTTATCAGCTGGTTAGTTAGAATTTTTACATTATTATCTAATTATTTTTATTGTAAATTTTTATTGTAAATTTGAAAAATTTGTGAACAATATACTATTTTAAGGTAAACTTCAAGAACATTATACAGTGCTGGATGAAAAACTTTTCGACAACTGTACTACTTCTCCAAAAAATTTGCCTGGATATTCAAATATTAGTCGTTCAACATCTGTCAGTCCTCAACATCTTCAGGATGACAGAGATGACACGATAAAATATTTAAAAGCATCTCTTGAGGAGCACAAACGGAAAAGTCAACAAACAATAAGAAATCTGAAACGCAAATTGAAACAAAAAAAGTCTGAGCCAGATTTTGATATAGTTATATCTTTTTTAAAATCAAAATTAAATAAAAATTATCTAGACATCTTAGAGCAAATGGGTAAGTCTAATAAAGATTTATTGAAAAGAATGATTTTAAAATGTGAGGCTAAAACTATTAGTAAGCAATACAGTCCTGAACTAAGGTCTTTTGCACTAACATTGCATTACTACAGTCCCAAAGCTTATAATTATGTAAGAGAAAAATTCGAATGTGCTTTACCTCATCCAAAAACCTTATATAAATGGTACACTTCTGTAGAAGGAAATCCAGGCTTTAATACAGAAGCTTTAAAATCAATTGAAGAACGTTGTAAAGCTGTTGATTATCCTTTGTTCGGGGCTGTTATATTCGATGAAATGGATATAAAAAGTGAAATTGAACGGGTGCATTCAAAAGTGTATGGCATGGTTGACTTTGGTGAAATGGAAAAATATATTAATGTTGATTCAAATAAAGTAGCTAAACAAGTTCTGGTTTTCACTGTTGTATGTGTGAATGCAGCATGGAAAATTCCTTTTGCTTATTTTTTTATAGATTCACTAAAAACTGATACAAAAAATTGCTTATTTTGAAAAGTTTAGAATTGTTGCATGCATTTAAGCTTAAGGCGATGCTGGAGTAGTACTGTTTTACCGACGAAAAATTAATTTCGTAGTTTAAGAAAATTTTTTTATTGCATGTATAGAATTACAAATCCTTTTAGGTGATTAAAGTATACATGCTAAAGAATCGGCTGGTATAACATTTAAAACAAAAAACAGAAAAAAATTTGGAAATTTTACCGACAAGCTGTCGGTGCATACAAATATTTGTTTAATATAAAAATTATAC